TTCTGAGATCCTCTCTGGATCTCTCCTGCTATATTAAGAGCAGCTGAATCCAAATTTGACCTCTATTCATCTCTGACAACCCCCCATTTTCTGGAAAGTCAGATTTTTCCGGGAAAAAAGCTTTTCCGAACCGTCCCCACCTCCAGGGAAATTTGAAAAAATTTCCGCATGTGTGATACATCGATTATTATGTAATTTGAGCTGGTAAACCCGAATTTGACCTCAGAAATTCGTTATCACCCACCATTTTTACGGAAAACTCGATTTTCTGGGAAAATTTTGTAAATATACCAAAAAACACGTTCTCCAAGAAAAATCTACTTTTCCGACAAAATGGAGGGTGATAGGAAAAATTGGAGGTCATATTCTGATTCAGCATTTAAAACTACATAGGAATCTCCCCTTCACGGATTCCAGGATAATTATTTAAATAAGACTTGCATGCCCGACTAAAATAAGTCAATTTAACTCAATCTCCGTGCAAAAAGTGTCTTTTCTACAAAACTGAGGGCTCATAGAAAAAAATAGAAGCCATTTCCGGACTCAGGGACTCACAATACCTAATGCATAATCTAATTTGTAGCCAAGAAAAATCTTACGCACATTCCACAAGGTGTAACAGTCGCAAAAACACCGTAAATGGTCAAAAATAACCATTTTTCCCAAAAAATCGAGTTTTCCGTAAAAATGGTGGGTGATAACGAATTTCTGAGGTCAAATTCGGATTTTCCAGCTCAAATTACATAAGAATCGATGTATCACACATGCAGAAAATTTTTCAAATTTCCCTGGAGGTGGGGACGGTTCGGAAAAGCTTTTTTCCCGGAAAAATCGGACTTCCCAGAAAACGGGGGGTTGTCAGAGATGAATAGAGATCAAATTTGGATTCAGCTGATCTTATTAGGTACAGCAGGAGGGATCTAGAGAGGATCTCAGAAAATTTCTTAGACTCCTCGCAACAGGAAAATCGTCCGAAAAACACCTAGGTAGAAAGTTAGTTTTCCAAGGAAAATCGATTTTCCGGGAAAATCGTGGGTGATCGGAAAAATCCAAGATCATATTCGGGTTTAGCGAGTCAAAATACATAGGAAGCAATGTATCACACGTCGCAGACATGTTTAAAATACATTTTTGATCCCCTTTGAGTCCGGGAAAGCTTATACACAAATTTAGGCTCTGAAAGATCGACATTACCGAAAAATTCGGGGGTGATGGAAAAAAACTGAGGTCATATTCGGATCCAGCGGCATAAAACACACAAGAATGACTGTACCACGGGTCCAGGAAAATTTATACAAATAAAGGGCATGCATGAAAAATATACTTCAAATTTGCTCATTTTCCAGGGCAAAGTCGCTTTCCCGGAAAACTGAGGGGTGACAGGGAAAAATAAAGGTCACTTTCGGACTCAGCGGCTCAAAATACATCGTAATTGCAGTTTTTCGTACCAGAGAAAAATTTTACCTATATTCTGCAGGGGGTGATAGTCGCAAAAACACCAAAAATGCCCCAAAATGGCCATTTTTCCGGGTAAAATTGACTTTTTCGGAAAACTGGAGGGTGATGGGAAAAAACGGAGGTCATATTCGGATTCAGCGCCTCAAAATACGTAGTTATCACCTTATCTCGTCCGGGAGACATTTTTGTCATTTTTTTTGCTGCACAGCGTATCGAAGCGCCATAAAGTTATGCAAAAAATCGCGATCTTCGACGGGAGTTCGCTTCTCCCCCGGTTTTGCGTTTTTCTTCCCTGACTTTCCCGGTCGCTAGACACCCTGATGAGGGATTCCGTTCTGCGCTCGGCCGCCACCTCTGACTTGAAAGTTTTAGCCGTACTTTTTCTGCGCTTGTAATTCTAAGTGTCAAAATGTTTGGCTCAAAAAATCAAGCAAAAATTAATCTATATCTTGTGGATCTGCTTTTTGTAATTCGAGAAATATTATTTCAGTTATCGTCGAAGGAAAGTGAAATTCTCAGTGGGGACTGGTGGCGCTATCTCTAATCTTGAATTATCCCTAATCGAACCCTGGATTCACCTTAATTGATGATATTCATTAAATCCAACCTCCTTCCTCCTCCAAGGAAAAAGTTGGAAAATTTCATATTTCAAAAATCATTTCCTAATGAGTATCAATTAATTTGAAATCCCAATAAATCTCAAATTTAGAATTACAAATTTAGAGACTTCGGTCAGTTGGAAAGGGATAGAGATGGTGGCGCCAGAGAGTAAAAACTTTTTCGTGACCGCACTTAGAACCCTAATACGTCAATCAATATCGTTCCTTCTGTGATTGACTGATTTGGAAGCAATATCATATCAGACTGTACATCCTTCAATGGTTGCTTTCCATCCTTCAGAGAAATTATGGTGTTCTTTGGGTTATTCACCTGTTGTGTTGTATGATTTATAAGAGTTGTTCCATTTTCAGAAATAATCTAGCTCTGATTATTTTCGCATTTCCATCACACGAACCTCCCCACATGTCCTCACCTGGAGGACTTTTTCCCCTCAGATGAGAAGACTTTGTTCCCAGGTGATAAGATCAAACATCAATTCAATTATAGTGAAGGGAGTAAACAACACTTTAATATATAGTGCTACGTTAAAAGTTAACTTCACACTTCATGCACAGTACATGTTTTGGATTTCTTAATGTTTTTGTTTGAACCACTGTTGGATCGGCAGTTTGATATTGTAGTGAATGGCGTTTACCGCTGAACTTCTACTTCATCATTCGAAATAACATTCCAGAAAATTGACCAAAAAATAAAAAAATGATGAAGGAAAAAACTTTTGAAGGGTCATAAGAACTGACACATCAGCAGCCGTGTGTGTGTGAGAAGTCTTAGTTGCACAAAATGCTATTATTTTCATATTCTCACTTGTTGACATTATTCAGCTACAACTTAGAGAAATTCCGCCTCAAGAAAATATGAAAAACCATCTGAAAAATATATAATACAGTACTCACACTTAATATTCGTGTCCAACTGGATCTTTGCATCTTCCAATTTATTACGTTAGCAAAACAGACAGAAACCAAGCGAATAACTAACGCATGAACGAAATGTAGCTTCCGATTTATTAAGTTAGTGAAACAGACAGAAACCAAGCGAATAACTCACGCGTGAACGAAAGGTAGACTGTGACTGGTGTCCCGCTGCCACAGCTCTAGGGGACAGTATTCACGATTTTGAATCGATTTTTTGAGAGTAGATTTATCGAGAATAGATTTAGCAAGAATCGATTTACTTCAGTGAATCGAGTGAAAAAACCGATTCGATTTCTTTTGAGTCGATTAATCAATTGTCGATTGAAAAACTGAATCGAGAAGGAAGAAGACCAATATAAGACGAGTTAACACGATTTCTCTACGGCGTGCAAAGTGGGAAAATGGAACAGTGATACTGAAATTATTACCAAATTCGACAGCAAAAGTCCGCGACCACGTATCTCAGTTTGTGACGTTGCAGATTTTCTGCCATTCTTTCCTTCTTAAAATGGAGACCATTCGAGGGGAATTCTTAAAAACTACAGTCATTTTTCTTCTCTTTGAAAAGAGATGTCTGCGGAGACATCAAGGAATGATGGCAATTTGTTACCTTCACAGAAAGCAATACGAGAGGAGATTTGCCATCATCGCAACACAGTAAGCAGATGCATAGTAACAGGCGTAGGGGTGCTTCCAGTTTTCGGTGTGTGTTGCCAGATGCTTTCAGCCAGTCCACTGACAAAACAAAAGCAATGACTTTGGCCATCCTGAGAATGATTTTGGATGGCGCTCCAGGGCGTAGATCCAAACCAGTACAACCTAAAAACAAACATTAAAACCATTAGTAAAACTACAAAATATGAGACAGTACTTGTAACCCCCACATGGAACTGCGTCAAAAAGGTGTCTGAACATTGTACCGCGTATTCTCTAATCTAAGAAGAGAAGAAAGGGAGCGAATCAAGGTTCCTTTAGAAATCAAGGCAGACATTTATTGCAAATGGTGCTGGAGACAGACAAAAAATGATCCTCATTCACCGAGGAGGAGGCTCATTAATTATCCTGAAGCTTCTACTGTCATCTAAGCAACGCCAACTATTTGATGCTGCAGTTTTTCACTGGTTACTGAAGTTCCAGAGGATACCCCTTTAGATTTAAAATCATCACTTCTCCTTCATTTAGATGATGCATCATGGAGAGACGAATCGAAGAACACTTTTTGTCAGTTCCTCAATTTCCAAGCACTCAGGAGGAGTGAGAGATTTTAGAGACAGGTATCAAAGAGGCACTAACATTGAAATTTAGTTACTCATATGGTGGACTCGATAGCTGGAAATGGGGTAAAGTGAGTGAATGAAAAATTCGAATGATGGGTGAGGAAGGCTTAAAAATTAAGATAATAAATTTTTAAGTTTCTTCACTCATCTTAAGAGTTTTTCTTTGTCATTCCCTACTTGTAGTACCCCACAAGGAAAGAGAAGATATAGAACTGCGCAATGGGTGCGTACCTCATGCCTATGACATTGCCTGAGAGCAACACAGAATCAAGCCCCTGGTCATATACTTAGATCAACTGTTACCCTTCGGACAGTGAATGTTACAATCCCCTGGTGTTACATTGCTTTCCATACCTGGTTTGCATCATAAGATTCTTCACCTACGATAGTCTTAAAAGGGCATGAAAAAATATTTAGTGACCGTAGAGATAAGTGGTAATACTTACATCTGGCAGATTTCAAATCATTGTGAAACCTGAGAAAAAAATACTGATTAACTCAGAACTGTCTTGCTATGAAGTCAAGAACAGCGCAGAGGAAGGACTGACAATGAGGCACATGGCCAAAATACAAAATCTTATTAAAGGTTCACGAGTCGCCTGAACTTCAGTTACATTTCTTGAATTTAAAGTTTAGTTTAAAATCTAAGAGTATTAATGGCAGCGAGTATTTTAAAAAAAACACTCTTCTGAGAGTAGTGTTAAAATCTCAATTTTGAGATCTTCTGAGTCTTAACTGGCTCATGACTGGAACAACAGTTCACTTTTTTCCCAAATTTTTTCCAAAACACAGTAATTTCCCTATGATAGGAGCTTGAGTCCGCAATTTTGGATTCTAGTTTCAGAGAGACGGCCATTTAATTTGTGAACAAGATGTTTTCTTACAATCAACGAAACATCAAAACATGTTTCTTTATTTCTTAATATTAACTGCTGACTCTTATCAGTAGAGAAGAATTCAAGCACTTTCAAGGACTTGAAAAAAATGTCAAAACCAATCACTTTCGAAGGTCGAACGAATCGTGAAGATGGGATGACATGATACTCACTTTAACCAGCATGCGCTGGTCGGTGGGTGTAAGCTACATTTTTGTTTCGAACATGTGCACGCACAGATTGACAATATAGGACAGAGGCTCTTCGTAACCGATTATTTTTTCCAAATTATCTTTCACTGTGTCCCGAATTTTGTTCTGTGTAGAGAGAAACATGAATAAATTCTGCGACTCCAGCAGGGTGAGTGAATCTGCCATAACTTTCAAGAACTGGGTGACACTGAAAAAGGAAGCAATGGTGTAGAGACTTGTCATAATACTTTTGAGCTACAACAGAGGTTTGATATGAATCAGAGGGAAGGGAGAAAACTGGTTGATGTCAAGAACAAAGGACTTAACTCTCCACGATGCGACACAGGATTGCCACAGAGTTTAGAAAAGGAATTTTCCTGACTCATTAGGGTAAAATTCCTTGACAATTGAAGATATGTCAGATGGCTGAAAGACATAGAACTAGGGAAAGAAAAGAGGAGACTAATGTCACATCCAAAAATTGCACCATTCAACAGATATTTACATGCTAACCAATGGGCCAACTGATGATTGATGCATTCAGACTGATGTGACTTTTGTCTCTTCTTTTCTTTCCCCAGTCCTAATAAACTCTAATTAAAACGTAATAGATTGCAATATTTATTTTTGGACAGCTCTTGTAGAGACTTTTGCGATATTACTTCTGTACACACATTTTTTAAAAATTATCTTCATTCAGGTACACAGGAGAAAACTTCAAAATGGAGAAATTTTTTTATTACTTTACAGCCATAAACTTACCGGCGATGGGTAGAATAATCATTTTTCACACTTGATTTCATGTTTTTCAGCTTATCTAGCACCGCAAACATATTGATAAATTTTCCTAGGGTGAGCAAGTAGGCTTCCGACGCAATCCTTCCTCTTTTCAGCATGGCACAGCCTTTTTACCTCTGCACAAAATCTTTCAATAGCTTTTCGCTGTGAAAGAAATAATTGGAGTTAGAGAATAATGATCTCACTAAATTGATTTATTCATTGACAGTAAAAGTTAGGTGATCAAAATGTGCACCAAACTTAGAAAACTCTTTCACCTACGATTGTCATGCTCAGTATGCGCTGGAGTAACTACCCTCCTGGCCACCATCAACGTTGACAATCAACTGATGATTGGGACCACAGCAGCTGCTGAAATGCGGACTGAGCGTAAAACATGATTTAGTAGGTAAAAAGTAAGACTTTCCTAGATGTCGTGTACAGTTTAATAGAAGTAAATAAATTGAGGAATAACATCGTTCAACATGGGTTCTGTCCTTCCAACCAAACCAGCTTTTTTTGTTTCCTAGGTGCCACAGTGGTCCGAAAATGCCCATATAAACTTCAGGGAAATTGTCTGGTGCGTAAAACGCCGCCATTTTAAAGTTTTCAAGTTTGAGAAAACCCACAATTAGATTTTTGCAAATATCTCCTCAACGGTTCATCCCACAAAAAAAAAAAAAAAAAAAAAACCAGCAGAAAGAACACAAAATTTCCTACAGAAATCATCCTCCCCTGTTTTTTCTGGCTTACTTCTTTGATCGTAAATTTGACGTTTTCTTCAAAAATCAGCTTTTAAAAAAGCACATTTTTGCTGATTTCAGGAGAAACTTTGCTTCAAATCTCCAGCCACGATTATCTGAGATAAAAACTGTAATGCTCATTGAAAAGAGCGTAGAATTTACTTCTAGATAACATACGTCAATAGTTTCTGAACTTTATTTAATACCTCATCAGTAGATCACACTAGTCAGTGAGATCAAAAGCCCAAAAGTTCAAAAATTTTCAATCAGAATCAAAACTTGTGAGCTCTAATAAGTACTAATACGAAACTTACCATCTTGCAGTACAAAACTTGAGCCTCAAACTTGTGCTTTGATGCCGTTTTGGATTTCGCAAGATTTTCAGTTGGGTTCACTGACTAGTGTGATCTACTGATGAGGTATAAAAAGACCCAAAAGTATAGATCTCTCAACGTGATCTCACCTTAATATTCCAATGCAAACTGCCTGAGCTGAACACTCTCCCCCATTAGTTTTGTACTGATCCTCATTAGAGCTCAAAATTGTTGGCTCCGATTGAAAATGTTTGAACTTTTAAGCTCCCCTCCCCCCCCTCCATATAGTGCAGGCCCAGCACTATTTTACCACATTGTTACACAGTTTGAGCCACGGTTTTAGGTTTTTTTCTTTTTTTTCTTGATTTTAAAGAAGATGGTTGACAAAATCACAATTTGAGAGTGGAGCTAATTAACTGCTGTTTCACAGAATTTAATCAAGTTCAGAAACTATTGACATATGTTTTCTAGAAGTAAATTCTACGCTCTTTTCAATGAGCATTACAGTTTTTATCTCAGATAATCGTGGCTGGAGATTTGAGGCAAAGTTTCTCCTAAAATCAGCAAAAATGCGCCTTATATAAGCAAATTTTTGAAAAAAACGTCAAATTTACGACCAAAGAAGTGAGCTAGAAAAAACAGGGGAGGATGATTTTCGTAGAAAATTTAGTGTTCTTTCTGTTGGTGTTTTTGTTTTTTTGGGGGAATGAACCGTTGAGGAGATATTAGCAAAAATCTAATGGTGGGTTTTCTCAATTTTGAAAAATTCAAAATTGTTGCGTCCTAAGCACCAGACAATTTTCCTGAAGTTTAAATAGGCATTTTCAGACTTCTTTAGCACCTAGGAAACGAAAAAAATTTGTTTGGTTTGAAGGACAAACCAAAACCGGAAATTTGTTGTGTTGTGTAATCAAAGTAAAGCATGAAGAGAATGATAAAGTGAAGTTCAAATTCATTATTAGGATTTGTCAAGTAATTCCAACTTTTGAGAAAATCAAAGCACAGAAAGGACGCGGCTCTTCAACTGCAAAGTTTCAGAATCTTCACCAATTTTTCATCCATTATGAGCAAGCAAATGTATGGAATTCGCTGAAACTCCTACTGAATATTCTTCATGATTTTACAAGTCTCTAAATGAAAATTTTCAGAAAATTCACTCAGTAGTTTCCTGTCTGAAAGCATGAAACGTTCCTTAGGGCAATAGTTCAAAAAAGCAATTATCATTTGGCAAGCGAGAAGTTATCATTGTATAATCGATTGAGATCTAAACCTAAGGCATATATCCTAGAAATAATAATATCTTCCGATGAATATTGGCAAAAATAAGTTGGAAGTTCAATAGATAGAAAAACTGAATGAATATCAAAAAGACTAAGACCGTTGACAAGTTCACAGCCAAGACTGTTTTCTTGCTAAATGCGCCAGGTAATTTCAGGCACGGTGACCAGCATTTTGCATGTACTATAACAATTTTTATTGTTTCAATTGTACCAATTCATACTAAATACATAAAAGATCACACAGTTGTGGAATATGCGCACCATCACCAGTTTTTGCACGGAACTAAAAAGCAGAGGGAGGTAATTATAGTTAATTAAGTAAATATTCTCATTAACATTTTTAATATTAAAGACAAAGATAATTAATTTAATCATTTTATCGATGTAATTGATATACTTTCGTTTAGTTATTGGTCTTTTAATTATATAACTTAAGACTACAGGTGTCAGGTGGGTAACCTAAACTATAAGTTCTAGCATTGTCGCAATTAGTTGAAATTGTGGTTGGAAGCACTCAAATATCCCTTTTTTCTTGCATGTTTCTCTGGGCCGGCAACATCAGTTACACTTCTTAGACACATTGGTAGACAACGTGATGCAAGTTTCCACCTAAAACACACCACTTCAATTACCTACTGAATGTCGAAAACGAACAAAATTAGAATGCTCACCTGAAAATACATGAAATTAAGCAGCTTTTTCACTTCAGGAGCTAATACTTCAGCAGTCTTTTCATAGATTTCCACC